TTTGAAATTTGGATTTGCAGTTTGTAGTTTAATAGTTATTATGAAATTTTATACATTTTTAAATATGTATCTTACATTGTCGAATTCGATACTCATCGAATTCATGCATCATAGACCAGCATCTTTTTACATCAGTTATGTTTTCATGATTTTATCATAAAAAAATCATGGTTTGATTCTGTGATGACCTGATTAGCTTGTTGGTCCCATGAACATGATCTTTTAGTGGTCCTCATAGTGTTGATGTTGTGATAACCATAAGTTTCTCCCATGTTTGTTATATTATATAGATTATTTTCTTGCTATTTCTAACATATTTCCTGCCTGTCAGCTGCCAGAGCATTGGATGTTCTGAATTTCACTCCTCTCAATAACAAGCCCATCCGAATTATGTATTCGCATCGTGATCCCAGTATCCGGAAAAGTGGGGCAGGAAATATATTTATCAAGGTATTACATGTTATCTCTTTGGGTAATGGAAGGATTTCTGCTAAGCTTCTGTATTGTTTGGTCCTGACTTTTACATTTGTTTTCTTTTTGAATTTATGTATTATTACAGAATTTGGACAGGGCAATTGACCACAAGGCATTACATGATACTTTCTCTACATTTGGGAATATCCTTTCATGCAAGGTAGCTACAGATTCATCTGGGCAATCAAAAGGATATGGCTTTGTTCAATTTGATAATGAGGAATCTGCTCAAAAAGCCATAGAGAAGCTGAATGGTATGCTGTTGAATGATAAACAAGTGTATGTGGGACCGTTCCTTCGCAAGCAAGAGAGAGAAAGTTCTACTGACAAGGCAAAATTCAATAATGTTTTTGTGAAGAATTTAGCAGAATCAACTACTGATGATGAATTGAAGACAATATTTGGTGAATTTGGGACCATTACTAGTGCTGTAGTGATGAGGGATGGAGATGGGAAATCAAAGTGCTTTGGATTTGTGAATTTTGAGAATGCTGATGATGCTGCTAGGGCTGTTGAGGCTCTCAATGGCAAAAAGTTTGATGATAAGGAATGGTATGTTGGAAAAGCTCAAAAGAAATCTGAAAGGGAGAATGAATTGAAACAACGATTTGAGCAGAGCATGAAAGAAGCTGCTGATAAATATCAAGGTGCAAACTTGTATGTCAAAAATTTAGATGATAGCATTGGTGATGATAAGCTTAAGGAGCTGTTCTCCCCTTATGGTACCATCACCTCTTGCAAGGTATACAGTTTAATTGGCTTGACACTAAATCTTTTTTTTCCTTTTTTTTAATTTATATATATAGTCTATGTTTTAAGTGCTTTTCACTTGAAAGGTTATGAGGGACCCAAATGGCATAAGTCGTGGATCTGGATTTGTTGCATTCTCTACTCCTGAGGAGGCATCTAGAGCAGTAAGTCGTAGGGTATATTTGTTGTGAAAGTGATACTTGGCTTTTTTAGTTTGAAAATAATTTTTTGTTTGCTTTATTTTTTGGTAGCTCTTGGAGATGAATGGAAAAATGGTGGTAAGTAAACCTCTGTATGTGACTCTAGCCCAAAGGAAAGAAGATAGAAGAGCTAGACTGCAGGTATGACTTGTTTTAATTGCTCATCTCATCTCAACTTATCTCTGTTGGTGGAATTATGTAGTAACAATGGTGAATTGATCTTTGAGGTCTTCTGTCTTCCCAAGCTCATGCATACAAAAGCATATTTATGTTTCAAATATCTTATAATAATTGTCAGTCATGGGAACCAAATATGGGTTGTTTGAATAATTGTTTAGGTGATTCTATGTTGATTAGATTTTCTTTGTCAAATTCTGGTTATATGAGATCAATAACATGGGCTATGTTGTTACTGTACTTTGCAAATTATAAAGAATTCAATTATGATTAGTTTTTTACTGTATTTTATTAATCGAAATCTGTGTCTGTAAATATTTTTATACGTTGGACTAATATCTTTATGCAGGCTCAGTTTGCTCAGATGCGACCTGTTGGAATGCCACCATCTGTTGGTCCTCGTGTGCCAATGTATCCTCCAGGTGGTCCAGGTATTGGTCAACAAATATTTTATGGCCAAGGCCCTCCTGCTATCATTCCTTCCCAGGTAATCACTTTTAATCTGTTTATCTGTTTATATACATAGACTTAAATTAGTGAAATATTGAATGGTGCTCAATGGTATTACACTTATTTTGCTCCATGGAGTAATTTCATAACCATTGTCCTATCTGTCCATGAAAATTTTTCTCAGCCTGGATTTGGTTATCAACAACAACTTGTGCCTGGTATGAGGCCTGGTGCAGCTCCAGTGCCAAATTTCTTTGTTCCAATGGTTCAGCAGGGACAACAAGGACAACGTCCAGGTGGAAGGCGTTCAGGTGCAGTCCAGCAGTCCCAGCAGCCAGTTCCAATGATGCCACAGCAGGTTGGTGCATTTCTTTGTTCATATTTTTGTGGATCATCTATCTTGTTTAGAACATTGACCTAAAATTTTGGAATTGGCAGATGCTTCCTAGGGGGCGTGTCTATCGATATCCTCCTGGCAGGGGTATTCCTGATGTTCCTATGCCTGGGGTTGCTGGAGGTATGTTTTCTGTTCCATATGATGTGGGTGGTATGCCAATGCGTGATGCATCACTCTCCCAGCAGATTCCTATTGGGGCTTTGGCATCAGCTTTGGCTAATGCATCTCCAGAGCAGCAGAGGACGGTAGGCTTTTGACTCCCTCTAGTGTTTACGTAGTGTTGTAAAGTTTGGATGTGCCTCAACATCATTTACTGCGTTTTAGTATTTGTAACTAACTATTTTATTGGGTTGTATATTTGTAGATGCTGGGTGAGAATCTTTACCCTCTTGTGGAACAGTTAGAGCCTGATAATGCTGCAAAAGTGACAGGCATGCTTCTTGAGATGGACCAGACTGAAGTTCTACACCTGCTTGAGTCTCCTGAAGCGCTGAAAGCAAAGGTGGCTGAGGCAATGGATGTCCTGAGGAACGTTGCTCAGCAGCAGCAGGCTGGCGGTGCTGCTGATCAACTGGCTACTTTATCACTTAATGACAACCTTGTTTCTTAAGGTTATTTTGGAGTTTACTTAGCAACGAAAGATTGTTATTTTCGGCACTGGCTTTGATACAGTTTTCAGGTTGAGTTTGTTTCTTTAGAATAGACACTTTTGGTTTGTTATGCACCACCTTCTTTTGGTTGAAGGCTACTTCAACTCTGATTTTATTTATGTCTTGGATTTGGTACATGGAATTATTTATTGGTTTATCTTTGACTACATGAGTTTGGGTGAGGAAAGGAGTTTGATTTTGCACAAAGGATGGTTACAGTTGATTAGTGGTCCTTGCGTTTTGCGGACGTCAATCCTCGTCTCATGCTCCAGTCCTTGCCTGACTCATGATGGATATATTAATAAGTATTTTCCCCATGCCTTGGAGAATTGCAGGCTAGGGACAAATCTTGTTTTTTCTACCTCATTTGATTAAGTAAAACTTGACTATTACTTGCAATGCTTTGATGAAGAGATTGCATCATTTTCTTTAATGCATCTCTTGCGAAACAGGTGCCATTTTCTTCAAACTATAAGATAGAAAATCGATCGTTTAGAGTTACTTGTATTGGATGAGATGCTGTGTGGGTTCCGTCTTCTCTTTAAGATTGCATGGAAAAGTTTTGACCTATATGTTCAACTGTTTGATGTAGAAAGTAGTTAAAGTCATTATGGAAGGTAGTTTGTGATAGGAAGATCCCCCAACTTATTGATTTGCCACTTCCAAATGAAATTGGTAGTTCGTTTGAAATTTTGTATCTCGTTTTAACTATAGGAATGTAGGTTGTTTTTTGGTAGAGTTAAGGTGTGGTTCATATAGTGAGGATTTTATGTATTATTTTGTTTTAAAAGAAAATTCATTAAAAGAAAATGATGCAGAATTTTCACTGTGCGTGAAGAGGGTGCGGAAGACAATTAAACTCGTATTCATGGGAACTGATCTGTCTTCGTCTCGAGTTTGACGGGAAAAACTTGAAGTGATCGGGGTGAGTTTGAATTTTCCTCGCTTTAAAAAGTCGGAGATGAGTAATGTAATCTCGATCATGTTTCGTCTCGACTTTATATTTAAATTTAAATTTTAAAATATTTTTTTCTTTTTCTATTATAAGGTTATTTTTTTATATTTTATCAATTTTTTATTTATCCATTTTTTAATTTTTTTGTCTTTTTAATCTATTATATCAATTAATTTATTACATTATTCTTTCTCTTATTTTTTCAGTTTTTCACATTTTCTTAATCTCTTTTATTAATTTTTTTTTCAAGTTTTTCATTTGATGAACATAAAATTAATTTTATTTATTCTTTATCTTTTTTTAAATATTTTACATAAACTTTAGTAGTAATTAATATTATTTTATTTATAATTTATATTTATTAGGTTTTATTAGGTTATATTTTTTATCTTATTATTCTTATTTATCATATATCAAATTTTATCTTAATAAAATAATTATATTTTAAAGGATTAAAGAATTGATAATTTAAACTTTTAATATTTTGAACTAATTGAATAAGAATTAATTTATTAAATATTTTCTTATAAATTATATATTTCATATTTTTAAATGACAATTTAAAATGAATTAATTTATATATAATCAAATATTTGAATATAATATTATAATAATAATGTTATAAATATTCAAATATTTGAATACAATGTTATAATAATAATAATAATAATGTTATAAATAAAAAATGATTAAATATTTCTTTTACATACATATTTTAATATAAATATAATAAATTAAAATATATATTTAATTAATAATAATTATAAATTATAAATATTTATATTTATGTAAAAAATAGATACTAAAATTAATTTATTATAAATGTAATTATCTTTTTAAAAATAATATAAATCGGAGATGGAGTAGGCGAAAAACTCGAAACCTAATAGAAACGGGAATAAAAACTTAATTTCTAATCCTAGCGAGAATGGTTAAAAAAGCTAGGGATGCATATTCGAGAGCAAAACACGCCCCACCCCAACCCCTTCGGGTTGCCATGCTTACTTGATAAGGTGAACTTTTCACACTTTCACGGAAAGCTCAACTTACATTGGTTTTATGATAAAATCGGCCTCATGATTTTTCATGCACCTAGTTACAACATAGATTCTTTTGAAAGATTAATCGGAATGGATTGGGCGGTTCAATTTCTGTTTTCCAAATATTGGATTTTAATTATATTAGAATAAAATTAAAAAAATTGGTATGAAATTGGTAAAATTAAAAAAGTTGGTTGAATTTTTGGATCGAATTAATTTGAATAAAGAAAAATTAAAGATAATTTTTGAAAAAAATATAATATATTTAGATTTTTTTATCATATATTAATTTTATTAATCTTAAATAATATTTATTTTATTTCATTCTATTTTGTTTTAATTATTATCAATCTTATATTTTTTAAAATATTTTATATTCATAATTTTTATTATAATTTATAATAATAAATTTATTTTATATTTATTATATTATAAAAATATTTTATTAAATTCGATGGGAGGTGATTGAATCTTTATTCCTTCAGTTCATGTTTCTCATCATTCTAAAATTATTGATTATACTTGATTTTGTGTGTTTCATATCCAAATAGTTTGTTTCATAATAGTTTATTTTGAGAATCTTGTGCTCGGAATTGTTTTCGCAATCCCCGTGTCCTTTGTCAAACACGATCCTAGTTCTAGATTTCGATTAGTGTAAATTAGTGCTTTATCTAGATATATTTTTTAGTAAGACTGAATGTTCAAGTGATTGTTTCTTCAATCTATATTTGCTAGAAAATCTTATCAAACTTGCTTGGACCACAGTCTTGATAAAGATGCTTCATCAAACATCGTGTTTTCACTCAAAATTACCATTTCTTTAGATAATGAATATATTTAGAATTCCTCAACGACAAATACTCCTTTCTTTGTTCTAGGTTCCCACTTATCTTTATCAACATGATAGGAAGACGGACTTCTAAATACTCTCATAGTTGAGTAAGCAATTAGTTTAGATCATACCTTCTTTTGGAAATCATGTATTAAAATGCACCTTACTCTTTCCAATCTTTTTAGCTATCCTATTTTGTTGCAGGGTATGACGAACTTGTGTTCTCTAATAATGCTAAAATTATTATAAATCATCAAATGCTACAAAGGAAATCTCCAATGCATAAGCATGAGCATCGTCCAATGCTTAAAATGGCTGAAAACTTAAAATTTTATTTTCATTGTAAAATCTCAAGTTATCACTGAATAATAATCAATGATGGATTGAAAATATGTGCATTTCCTAGTAATGAAACCCTTAAAGAACCCCACAAATCATAATGAGCATAGTGCAATGTAGTTTTTTATACCTTGGGAAACTATGTTGCTTGCCATAAATGCAACTGTCCATAAAACTCATTGTTTCGGTTGAAAGTTCTTTAATAATACCCTCTTATTGATTTCCACTCATGGCTTAAATGCACATGACATAAAGAAATACTGGATGTAGATAGAGAGACAGATGAAGTCGAGCATGTCATTGTGAATCCCTATAGTTTTCCTTACCACATATTTCTTCCCTAAGATATGCATCACTCCACCTTTAGCATTAGATAAAAACATTTCTTACATCCAAAGCACCTAGAAAAATAAGATTTTTCTTCGTATTAGGAACATGATGAACATTTTACAGTATCCTTACCACTCTATCATGCAAACAAATTTTTATGGTTTTAATGTCAATTAGATTACACAATCTATTATATATGTAGAGTGATTTAACTATTCTCCTCTCACCAGTACTACTTTAGCCTCGGAGGTTAAATCATTTTAAATAATGACAATTAAACAATCTTTATCCCGTCTTTAGGTATGTTATTCTTTCTTTGGCCTAATTATTTGTAGTAATTACATATGTCGTTTGCATCAATATTGTACTTCTTTTGAAATTTTTTCTTTTCCTTGACCCTTGAAAATAAGAAACAGTCAATGCTATTGCGTCTTCACCATTCTTAAATGTCTTAAAGTTCTTTGACATATAGAGCTAGGCTTTCACCTTTCCTCTGGTGATGTACTCTCATCCAGCTTTAATAAAATTGAAAATTTGATTTCAAGATCTTCATCCTCTAATTCCATTTTCATATCTCTCTACTTTATCAAAATTTCATCATCTTATCAAGACGATCCTTTAATGATATTCCTCTCTCATACGAAATACAAATAATGTTGTCTTCATACATAAGACAATATTTGGTATGAATAGTTTTATTTAACTTCATTCAGCCATACTCCAACAAAAATATGTTTCTTAGAGACTTTATAGATGTCCTTCGCAAGTGCCAAAATAAAAAATAATGAATGAGTTGTATCTTCTTGATGCTCTACAATTCACTTCATATTCTTTCAACAAATCTTCTTTTTTTTTCTTTTTTTTTTTTCTTAATCCTCCACAAATTAAACTTGTTCTTTTTAGTAAATTTCTCGATCTTTATTGACATGTGCAAAATTGAAACTCTAGTACCAATTCACTAGGATTTTATATATCATGAACAAAAAGATACTTGTTACCTAAAAAGAAACACACATAAAACAAAATAAGAAGATACGAATACATAGAAAGAAACAAAACAAAAAACATAAAGAAAACAATGTTTCTTGTATAAATGGATGAATAAAAAAAAAAAAGACAAAAAAAAAAGTGAGATCAATAGAAAAACAAGTGTAGAACATTACACCCAGATAATTATAAATATTGTTGTAAGATTACAAAACATTCTCACCCTTACTTAATTACATAGAAGATCCATATGTATACATATGGTTACGAAAAAATTGCTGACGAAACAAAATCAATAATTAACTAATAACAAAATGTGTTTGAAATGTATTGGATGACTTCATCATTTGTCCAATTGCTGCACAAATTTCAAAATAAACCTTCCATTTGACACTTCAACATATTAAATGATTTCAAGCATATCTCACAATTTATCTAACATAAGTTCATATAATTTGATTAAAAAAAAAAAGCACTGGTATTAAACATAAATTACTTTTTTTTTTTAATTGTGGCATAGTAAACCAGGACATATCTCCATATAAGAAATTAAAAGATTGATGACCTTCCTAACTTTGATACTTGTGTGGATTATATAAAAGAAAAATAGATTATTAAAAACAAAGAATTTTCAAGAGCAACTAAAATATATAAATCATAAGTGAAACTATGCAATCGATGTAGTAAATTATTTAATTATGTAACTAGTTATTTCTTTTTTTTTTCATGTTCATAATCGATTATAGTTTCACGTAATAAATTAATTCATAAGCCAAACAAACTGACTTATGCATTCCAACATTACACAATCAATTCGAAACTTTTGTAATCGTTTAAGTCGTACCACAAACCACTCACCAATTTATTACAACCCTATGTGATTGATTGTGAAATTTATGTAATTGATTATATCACAATTCCTTTTCCCTCGGCACATTATTTTACAAGGAGTATGCATGGACTTATGTAATGGATTACATAAATGAGCTTTATCTTTCTAAATTGAAGCAACAATAATTAATCTATGTTATAATCATAAATTACTTTTCTTAGTGAATGTAATATAAAGAATAAAATCTTTAAAATATGACTTGTTTAATCTTTGAAAATATTTTATGACTATAATTTTATTATTACTTGATAATGTTTGGCACATGTTAAAAGCAAACACCATCTTTAACAACACTAACTACAACTTGATCTTTAAATGCTTGAAGTCCTCTTCTCTTATATGCAATTGAAGAAATAAGAAGATTTAATGCTGGTTTTGTGGTTGGAATTCTTGGGTTGTCATCAAAATAATCCATAAATGAAATATTGAAAAGTTGTAAAGAAAATGATAAGTACCCAAAGGTTACATAAGATCTGACAACCTAGAAGTATTTAGTTATTCATACTCAAATTTTTATTGGCTATTGACTCTTAGTTAACTTTTGGATATCGCAATATCTTGAAAGAAAAAAAATGCGAAACAGTTATTTGTTGGCAAATATTGAGTCATGTATATATATGATACATAATTTAAATGTGTTAGGGTCATTATTTATTAAGTCAGATAATGAAGTGATCTGACTAAATTAAAAAAGTTTGGCTAAAGGCATATGTCATGAAAATAAAATTGTGTACAGACCATAGAACAACTTCTAATTTGATGAGGGGCCAAATTGGAAATATTAAAACTTAAGTAATTAACCTAATTTTAGTTATTTAAAGGGTCATGGTCCCCTTCTGGGAGTACACACACAGAACGTAAGTCTCAATCTCATTCTTTTTTTTCTATCTCCATCAAGAGAGAAAATTCAGAGGGAAATACAGGTGCTCTTCAGGTGGAAAACCATAAGATCAATAGTGCTCTACAAGGATATCATCATTATGGCTAATTCAGGTACGCTTTCACATTCAGTTTATAACATGTTTATGAGTATGAGAATATGTTTATGTTTGATCGTTAAAATCAAAATCAAGATCATAATAATGAATTACTAACAATTAGTATCAGAGCAACCCATTCTTGATTCATGTTTGTGTTTGGAAATTCATGTTTGTCTTTGGAAATTAAATTGAAGAATTTAGATTCTAATTAATTTATAGAATCCTTAATCCCTAATTAAAAAGAAGAACCCCAAAATTTTGAATACTAGGGTTTCTTAAAACCCAATTTAGCTGGATCTCCTTTATTTGAGTCCCCTATCTCGGTAATGAGTCTCATCCCTCTCGCCCACTGTCGCCGAAAGGGATTTCTACCACTCTGTGAAAGCACCTCTGTGATCCTCCGATTATCAGTGTCCTCCTCGCCAGAGAAGAGGAAGTTGTTGGTGCACGAGGTGCGTGTGGGGACGGAGGATGGTGGGTTTGATTTCGGAGCTCCAAAAACCTGCTCCAGCGAAGAAGCGGCACCGACTAAGACCGGGAGGAGATTCACGGTGCTATGGAGCCGGTTGAGAATGGGCCATGAAACCTATCTAGACAATAGATGAAGCTCCGGCTCCGGTGCAAACTCGGAGTCGATCGAGGCGCTGCCGAAGCTGGTAATCGTGTCGTCTTCGTAGCGGGGAAAAGTGGAATTGGAGGAAGCCACGCGACGCGGCTCTGGTGTGGCTGGGGAAGGGAATAGCTGGGTTTAGAAGCACGGTGAGGATGATTTGCAGTGGTGATTGGGGAAGCGCAACCAAGGCCATGGTGGCCGGGTTAGGTCTCACGGTTCAAGGTAAAGGAGAGGTGGTGATGGACTAGACAGTGGTCGTAGGGGCTGCTTCTCCTCTGCCGCGATTCCTTTTCCCCTTCTGCGAATGCACCTCCTGTGATTTGGAAATTAGTAAGAGAATAAGGTCTTCCTCTGTATTCGAAGGAGTTTGCGTCCACGCTTTGAATTCTCTGTTTTCTCTTTGCTTGCTGCTCTTGAAATTCTTGGTTTATGGTATTTGGGTCCGATCCTTCTGAAACTTGTTTTGGGTTGTTAGATCTCACATCGTGTAATTTGATTTTGTTCGAATAGTAATACTTGTCCATCGTTATCGTTGGATTTGTAAAGATCTAGGTTAGGGTTTTCTCAAATTGGGGATTTTGATGTTTTACTGAATTTCTTTGGGGAAGTTTCAATTTGTTGAGCAATTAGGATTATCCCGTTTGATTTCTTTCAATTAGAGCTCTTAATTGTCCAATTCAATCGGTTGCATTAATTTGAAGGAGACTATTTTAAGGTAAACATGGTGGAGATTCTTTTAGAAGTGAACCCCACCAGTGAAATGATGGAGATTCTCGGGGACCCATTTGCCTAAATAAATGAATAATTAAACATTGATTTGGTTGCCAAATCTACTTTATCAAATTTTCCTTTTATTTGATACCGAAGCATGAATTGTCATATTCAGGTGGTTTGGTTTAGTTGGAAAATACTTGTTTTACGAATGGTAGTGGTGGTCTCGCGTCATTATAAATTTTTTTAATAAATAAATAATTATATAAATTTGGTTTTGTTATATAAATAAAATATTCAAGTTTTGGTAGTTTAATATTTTTGTGAGCAAATTGAGTCAAGAAATCACCAAAGTAACCTCTCTTGAATTGGGTAGTTGGTGAAAAATATTGAATGTTAGTGTTTATATATATTCATGCGAGTATTAGTCAGTCCAAAAGAAGATTAATATTTGGCCGAATTGCATACACACTTGTAATGATAAACATGTGATAATTATAAAGATTTGTTTTGTCGATGATAAATCAATCCAAAGACTGGTTTGTTGTTGGACGTGCTTTATTGTCAATGTTTGATCATTATAACAAGATACCCCTAGCAGTTAATATTACTATCCAAAGACTTGATATTGATGGTGCATTGGGTGTCTTGAGATGAGTTAAACCATTCTTTTGTTCTTAATTCAGTTACAATTACTTTTGTATCTGTCAAATTAAATTCTGTTTCGATCCTCAATAGAACAAATTTTAAGGACTGGAAAGAGAACATTGATATTATTCTTGGCTGCATAGATATGGATCTTGCGTTAAGGACTGAGCAACCCCCTACTCCTACGGATTCAAGTACCTCTAAACAGAAAAGAGATTATGAGAAGTGGGATTGCTCAAATCGCATGAGTCTAATGATCATTAAGTGCGACATCCCGGAGGTGTTTAGGGGCACTGTTTCTGAAAACATCACAAGTGCCAAAGAATTCCTTGCTGAAATTGAGCAGCGCTTTGCAAAAATCGATAAGGCGGAGACAAACACTCTTCTTCAGAACTTGATCTCCATGAAATATCAGGGCAAAGGAAATATCAGTACATTATGAGCATGTCTAATATTATTTTTAAACTCAAGGCACTAAAGCTTAAACTCTCAAAAGACTTGCTCATTCATTTGGTGTTGATTTCTCTTCCCGCAACGTTTAATCATTTTAAGGTATCTTACAACTGTCAGAAGGATAAATGGTCTCTTAATGAGCTCATTTCACATTGCGTACAAGAAGAGGAAAGACTAAAGTAAGAAAAGACAGAAAGTACTCATTTTGGAAGCACCTCCAAGGCTAAGGGCAAAAGAAAGAGATCAGAGGATCTCAAGAAAGAAGTTGCTAAGGGTCCAGAACAAAAGAAACAAACTCAAGAAAACAAATGTTTCTTTTACAATAAGACTGGACACGTAGAGAAGAAATGTGAGAAATATCATGTTTGGCGTGAAAAGAAAGGTATGTTTCTTACTTTGGTCTGTTCTGAAGTCAATTTAGCATCAGTACCTATTAACACTTGGTGGTTAGACTCAAGTGCAACTACTAACATCAGAGTTTTTATGAAGGGTTACCTAAACTACCGGAAGCCAACTAATTCTAAAAGATGGATATACATTGGAGATGACAAATCGGTGGAGATGGAGACTATTGGACATTTTAGATTATTATTGTGTACTGGTTTTTTATTTTAGATTTAAAAGACACTTTTGTCATGCCGTCTTTTTGACAGAATTTGGTTTCAGTTTCTTATTTAGACAAATTAGGTTATTTGTGTTCATTTGGAAACAATAAGTTAAGTTTGTCTTTTAATTAAGATATTGTTAGAACTGGTTCACTTTTGGCTCATGATAATCTATATTTACTTGATATTGTGGTCACCTATAATGAAACTCTTAATACAGAATCTCGTGGTACTAAACGTAAAATTAATAATACTCACTCAGGTGCATTATGGCACAGGCGCTCAGGTCACAATCTAATCGTGACGCTTAGACTTGTGTTACACTCTTAAAGAAATGGTAAGAAGTATGATTTGTCATTCCACCTTACCAGAGTCATTATGGGGAGAGGCACTAAAAACAACAGCTTATATTCTAAACAGAGTACTAACTAAAGCAACTACTAAAACACCTTATGAGCTTTGGTCTGGGCAAAAGCCTAGTCTGAAGCATTTTTATGTATAGGGTTGTCCAGCTGAGGCAAGGCCTTATAAGTCAAATGAAAAGAAATTGGACTCCCGAATAGTAAGTAGCTACTTCATTGATTATTCTGAAAGATCCAGGGGATATAAATTTTATGATCCCACATTAAAGACAATTTTTGATATGGGAGCTGCTACGTTCTTTGAGGATATTGAGTTTGGGGGGAAGAATAAGATTAAGAACTTTATCGAGGAAGAATCAGTAACAATTCCATAACTTATTCAAATAGTTACTTTTGATAAAGTAAGTTCAGAACCTCCACAAGACATTAATGATGAATCTATACTTAAGATGATTTAGTTGTTCGTCAAGAACAAACTCAAGATCCTCAAGAACTTGTGCATCATGAGCCAATAACTTTGCAGAAATTAAGGAAATGCAAAATATTTCCTATGCATCATCTGCAGGGAGTTTGATGTATGCCCAAGTATGTACGCGTTCAGGCATAACATACATAGTTGGGGTTCTAGGCAGATATTTAAGCAATCCAGGAATGGACCATTGGAAAGCAGCAAAAAAGGGTCATAAGATATTTAAAGAGAACAAAAGATTATATGCTCACATATAGGAGGTCAGGCCAATTGGAGATCGCTGGGTTTTCTGACTCAGACTTTGCAGGATATCAAGAATTTGTAGCATGCTATGAGGCATCAAATCATGGAATACGGTTGAGAAATTTTGTCACAAGGCTGCAAATTGTGAAAGACATTGAAAGACCACTTAAGTTATATTGTGACAACAAATCAGTTGTATTGTTAAGGAAAGAGTATAGAGTGGACAGATTCCCATAGAACACTTAGGGACAACCTCCATGATAGCAGATCCTCTAACTAAATGACTTCCGCCCAAGTTCTTTCATGAGCATGTTGCTCACATGGGTGTTTTACAGTTTGAGGAATTTGTGGTTTAGTAGGAGTTTGTCATTTTCATATATTTTATGTTCTATGTTTAATTTCATATACGTATACATTGATTTTTTGGACATATTTGGTTATCTATAGATATGCGGTTTTTTTCGTTCATTCATTACACTTTGTACATTAAGATTATTATATTCATCTCGATAAGTTAAAGTTTGGACCAGTTGAAAATAGATGTGTACAGATCACCTTCACGTAATTTTTCATGCTACACATTTTATGATGGATCCATGTCATTTGGTTATGTCAGGATTAGTAATCATTGTTGGTTTTAGTTGCGATGATGCACTGAAAAACTGGTTTGGTTCTATATCCTGATATGATCACTGGACAGGACTTTTGAAGTATGCTAAAGGAATATAATGACAATTTTGAGCTCATAAAGTCTAACACATTTGTTAGGTTGTAAGGACATATATATTTGTGACCAGTGAAAGATTGTTGGCAAATATTGGGTCCTGTATATATATGATACTATTTTGGTGAAAATTTGATCGATTTCAATTTCTTAGAAACTTAGGTTTTAATCAAATTTCAACCACGTAGATTCTTTTTACTTAGGCTAGCAATCGGTTTTTCAATCGAAACGTGTATGAGAATCGAGAATGTCACAATATCGAAAATGTTAACAATGCAACAGATCATACAGATTGACACTCGAAAGTTTTTTTTTTCGGTATTTTTTATTAAGAAACGCGAAATAAAGAAAACAGTAAAACGTATCGAAAATGAAAGGTAGTACAGAATATTAAATTACAGAGAATTGTAAATGCGGAAACCTCGAAATTGCATTAACTGTAAATGACGGAATTAAAAATTGCATGAAAGTAAATAGCAAGACATCAAAATTGCAGAAACAGTAAATGGCAAGAATTTGAAAGTACAGAATCTTAAATTGATGAATGTAAATTGCATGAAAGTAAATTACCAGGGAAAGTAAAGAAAGCGATAAAGACAATCAACGATAATGGAAATCCAGAGCATTAGAGACTTCATGATGCGTCGTTCTCCTGTAGACTTTTCACTAGTGTTTCTGTTCTCCCTGCTAATTCCCCCCTTTCCTTCAATCTTCGCTCTATTTATAGAGCATCCTTCAGGTAACCTCCTAAGAGCAGTTAACGAAAATTGCTACCAC